ATCTACTTGGCTATCATTTTCAATATTTACAATATTCTTTATTTTCAATATTTACAATATTCTTTACATCTGCTAGTAAACTGAGTATGAGGGCAGGAAAAATGGTTATGAAACTGACTTAGAGTAATTGAATTCAGAATTGGGGTGGAGGGGGGGGGGCTATGAAATATGTTGCCTCAATAAGGGGGGGGGATAAAATAGTTTGTTAGAAAAATAAGGGGTCATGAAAAATTTTTGCTATTCATAAAAATTTCCTCCAGCCCCCTACCCGGCATTAATAATGACTTGTCCCTTAGCAAAGAATGTAACTCATGCACACTGTTACATATAACACTTTAACACTTTAAATCGCACCAATGACCTGAGCAAACCTTTGTGTAACTATTGTTGGTATTAGCATCCGGTCTCAATACTAATTTCTGGTTTTTCCCCTTTATCTCATACATATCAGCACTAAAGTGATCTGAACACAAACGACTACTTTTCGCAGGAACAGACTTCACTGTCGCATGTTTATTCATATACTCAACCCATATGCTGTACAACTCTGGATGCTTCTTTGCATCAGGAATACTTAAATATGTGAAGGGAAAAAATTCAATAACAATATGCTTTCATAAATACAAACAGGCCTATAAAATACACTGTACAATAGGTAGGAAAAACGCACACGAGAACATCACAAGGAACAATGGAAATATAATATTTGAATGAAACAAACTGCATGCAAAACCTCAGAAAAGAAGCCATAGTCGAGAAAAGCTGGTGACACATGCACGTGAACAAAACATAAACTACCGTTTGCTTTACATTGTCATTTGCAGAAAAAAACTTCTCGAATGATATCTAAGCACAAAATAATATTTCCTTACCAGTGTGAATACAGTCCGTCTTTGTCAAAGGAGTTGTGACAACCATAAACCGAGCAAACGCGGCATGTTGACAAAATATAAAGTTGTGAAACTTGATAGTACTTTTTGCATCCAGGGGGGTGCGAAAACAGGTGGCTTTCAAAAATATTATGTGGTCAGTGGTAAATCGCCCGAAAATAGTGGACGCGGAGCTCGAAATCCGCCATGTTTTTGCGGACACTTTTTTGTTTGACGAGATATGGGAGCACGGTCTCCAGATATATATAGTAGAGCTCAGTGGTTAACCCTCAGATTTTCGGAATATGTCGTGCGATCTTCGGCGACTAAACGGAAATGTTGTGCAATGGTTTCCAATCCCCTTCGAGACTCGGTCTCAAAGTTCAAGAATATCAAGAAGACGAAAACGTGCAAAAAGAATGTAAATTTTTAAAATGGTGTTTAGTTCAGGAGCAAAAAAAGAAGTAGAACAGTTACCTGAAGCTGTTCAAGCACGGATTAAAAATACTGTGAGATATGCAAAGATCTGGTAAGCATAGTTTTAGAATAGTTTGATGAAGTCATGTGCTCAATTTAACACTGAATGGGCTATTACATTTAATATCCGTACCCCCCCTGTCGAGGACCTCATTTTCCAAGGGGGAAATTAGTAATTTTTTCCAGAGGGGTAATTGGGAAAAATGGAAGAAAAATGCTCTTTCCAGAGGGGTTAAAAAGCAAAAAAAGCACTTCCAGAGGGGGTTCAAGTCTCTTCCAGAGGGGTCAATTACACATATTTTTTTGCATTCCAGAGGGGTAAAAATCCCCAAAAGCAGAGGTCCTCGACAGGGGGGGTTTTGGTTTTTTAATGTAATAGCTCAATGACAGTATTACGCTTCGGATACACGAGCAATATTTTTGCTGCGATGGGTCATAACAGCATTGCGTTGCCGTCGCACAAGGTGGCTACACCTGCAATATTTCACCTGCAATATATGTCTTCATAACGCTTTTCATTGAGGGTCCACAATAGGTTTTTCGGGATGCGGGAATTACGTTATTTTTTGATCGGGAAGCGGGATATTAAAAAAATATGATGCGAGATTCGGGAATAAAATTTCTTGCGGGATGCGGGATTTTCGCAATTTGTGCCTCGGGATTCGAGATATGAAATCTTTGTAAGACGGGATACGGAATTTAAAATACGCTCTTTGACGAATTTGAAGAGTTTTTGAATCTGAAAAGATTCAATAAAAAATACTCCATTCACGTCTAATTGCATTTTGAAATTTGGCGATATTACCGGAAGTGACCATCCCTGTCCATAGTAGAATATAAGGAGGGATTCAGCATCACACTGTGTGAATGCCGCGGTCTAAGAAAGAGAGTACAGTTGAATGTTTTGCTGGAAACTGTGGCAAAGCTGGAAACCGAGACGGCGTTGTGAGCGCGAAAGAGTTTTATCCCATAGGATTTTGTGTTGAGTTTAGTCACGTTTACGTTTGCGTGTGCGATGCGCAGACAGCTGCATCAAATTCGTCACAACCTTTCAAAGGACAGCAGATTTTCTAACGGCGATCGGTAAAATCTATGCAGCGTTTTTTGTCCATGAGGAGCACCATGCTTTTACAACATTGGGCGAATCCTTAGATCATTTGCGTGAGAACGAGACGTCAATCAGACAGAATGTGTCACTAAGACTTCCAAAAACCCAGAATGGTCCTCAAGGTAACGTGGCAGCAAAGACAATTGGCTCAGTTGATGTATGCTCAAACAAGGCTTGGTACGACTGAACGAAATATCTACCGAGTTCGGCTACAAGTCTCTAATCCTTCTTAGCTGCATGGCATTGGATGTGGAAAATTTCCATTCAGTGGTGCATCCCAAGGCCCCTTTGTGCACTGTTTGTCCACCAATATGCCAAGAATTTTGGGAATGCTGTTAAGGAAAGCCTAAAGTGAACCAATCACTGGGCCGCTTTCTACTATACGAATCTCAAATCCTGGTACCCAGTTCCTGAAAGAACGTCACGCCTACAGCAATTCCACTTACGGAGGCACAGCAGTCGACCACCATTTCTCTCTAAGACGCCAAAACTATGAAAGAATGGGCAGACGCATATGTAGCATCTGTGCGACAGCGCACCGTGAGGCAGGAGACCCCAATGTGCAGGGTAGGGGCACTCCCAGATTGCCTGTACCAACGTCAAGTGCAACCAGAGGAAGCCTGTCGTAATTGACAGCCTCGGGAAGGATTCAGAGGCAAAAAAACAGGAAGAGAGAGTCGAGGAAGAGGAGAAAATTGGAGGCGTAAAAGTTGATCAGTACGATACAAGAAGCGATGAAGACGGCAACGATGAAGTCCAAGAAGAGGTAGAAGAGGAGCGTAAGAATAGTGTTGGAACTTTGGAGCTAGAGGCCAATTTTCTTCTCGGAATTACTGTCTCTCGATTTGGAAGGGCTATCAGATTTAATAATTGACTTGTGTTTTAAGATGCATCCATGCATGCATTTTCAAAGTATATTTTTAGTTTGCTTTCCGGTGCAAAGTCATGAATTTTCGCGATAAAACTGACACTTTCGTCGTCATAGGTAATACTAAGTTGCAAGGCGGGATCGGGATTCCACGAAAAACGCGTCGGGATATCGGGAATTTTAGAAAAAATACATCG